GGAATCCATGCCTGCCGAAGAGCTGGAGTGACCCTTGGTAGCACTGTGTTCGTCTGTGGTGCAGGTAAAAATTAGACGAAAGTCATCGAAACTGCTAGTAATATTCCATAAACAAGATGAGAACTAGGGTATTTGAGTAAGATGCTCATGCAAGTAGGGAATTCATTTGGCACACGGTGGGTGTAAACTAAAACGTGAGTCCTACTGACTCCACAAAACTAGAGTGATGTGGGGATGCATGCAGGTAAATCTCAATGTTTAACTTTTTCCCCCTCTGGGAACAAGTTCATTTAAGCACTCTGTTGTCAGTAATACGTGATGCAGTCTTGAACTTTCTTTTTAAATGTACGTTTGTGTAACACATGTTCACTTGGAGTATTTGTGCATGCTTCTCCTCTTTACACAGGACCTATCGGGTTGGTCTGTCTGCTTGCAGCCAAGGCAATGGGGGCCTCGCAGGTCGTCATATCTGGTAACACAATTTGTCATTTTAAGCACTTATCTTAACAGAAGTATTCATTCTCATAATTCAGCTTAACTCTGGTTACCATTCTTTGCTGTGTTCAGATCTGTCTGAGGAGCGTCTGCTGATGGCCAAAGACCTGGGTGCAGACTTCCTGCTGACTGTGAGGAGAGGAGATGGAGCCCAGCAGCTGGCAAAGAGTGTGGAGGAAATGTTGGGGGCGCAGCCTCACATTACCATTGAATGCACTGGTGTTGAGAGCTGCATCCAAACTGCCATCTATGTATGTGGCCCAGTAAAGTCAAAAGTTGTAGTCACATTTCTGGAACTGTTCCATGCAAGTAATAGATGAGAGAGTAAGAATTTAAAATCTGCATTACATTATTGCATGAGATGTCAAAACTTGAAGTTCTCTTGCCTGCCATCAGTGGTGGGATCTAAAGTTCATTTCTTCACACATGAAGTGTAGTTCTTTAATTTAGTTGAATATTTCAAAGTTTCATGCAGCTTTTGTACTTCAACTCAGCAGTGACATGTCCTTTTGCTTGCTATAGTTGTTGGCAAAAGTTTTTAGTTGCATAATAGCTGATGAGCTCATGAGATACGATGCAAGGTTAAACACTGCGAAATGGTAAAAACGGCACCAACTAAAACGGGACACCATCTTATCTGTATCTGTCCCAACATAAACAGGGTTCAGTCTCTGCCGACTCATAAAATAATCACATTGTTTTGTGTTTTTTTTCTTCCCCTTTATCAGGCAACCCGTTCAGGAGGTGTCGTGGTGCTGGTGGGTCTTGGCTCAGAGCTGGCTACAGTTCCTCTGATCAATGCCGCTGTAAGAGAAGTAGACATCAGAGGAGTTTTCCGCTACTGCAATACGTAAGCTAACGCCCATATACATTTTTTCTACAAGCAGATGCTAACAGTTAGGTTCCATCAATTTTAAAAGCAGTAATATATGGACCATTCTCTTTGGGCTAAGTTAAAGTAATTATTGCACTTAAACAACTGTTTGTGTTGCAGCTGGCCAATGGCGATTGCCATGTTGGCGTCAGGTAAAGTGAATGTCAAGCCCCTTGTGACCCATCGTTTCCCTCTGGAGCAGGCAGTCCAAGCCTTTGAGACCACACGTCAGGGTCTTGGAATAAAGGTTATGTTGAAGTGTGACAAAAATGACCAAAACCCCTGAACGGATCAACTGACTGCATGACTAGCACAAACTGGACATTGACCTGAACAAAGATAACAGAGCTAGTTCAAAACAATCCCTCAACTTGACCACACTGTGAAAGAAGTGACTGCTGCACTGCTTGCAGGAAACACATGTAATTAGAATTATTAAATGGTACGATTAAAGGATTTCATAGTGCCTATTGATTCTAATACTAAAACATAATACTTGTATGACTGTATGTAATGTGCAAGTTTCTGGTATCTGTAAGTTAAGGATTAATTTAAATATTGTAACAATAAAAACAAATCTTGAATTATTGAAGTTTGTATTTCTAAAGTGGAGTACATTTGTAGGTTCTGCATTTACAAATGTCAACACTAGGGGGCATAAGAACTTCAAAGTTGAATTGATGTAAATCGTACTGGAGCTTACAACCTGTTAATTGTGGTGTGCTGTTTTTTTTTTTTTTTTGTTTTTTTTTTAAATAGTGGGTGTGCAGGAAATCATTGTACTCAGCTGTGCAGAAAACTGGAACTGATCAAAGAAACCTGCCAAATGGAGTTCACTCTTGAAATACTATGCTACAAAGTGTTTATCAAAATCTGGAGCAGCCGCACAGTTCTTTCTCCTCTGGAGCTGCTCTTTTCTTCATGCAGTGGGTTGTTTGGAGACTAGTGCCACCAGAATGAGTCATGCACAGTATGGACAAACTAGCTGAGTTTTATAGCACACGGTTCCCCTGAAGCAATAATACTGACTTCATATACTTATAAACTCCTGTCCCCCATTAAGGTGATGAGTACTCGGAACACTTTTAATTACAAAAAGCTGCCTTGTGCAAAAACATGCATGTGATTAAATAATAGGAAACAATGTTCAGTAAAGTATTTGTTGAGAAGCAAGTAAGCATCCTACATCATGCCATACAATATTCCTCTTTTGCATGGCTGTAAATGAGCAGGTTATAACAGATAATTGGTCACCTCTATCATGGCTCTGATATTTGATGGTAAACCCTTTTTTTTTTTTTTTTTTTTAATGCTTGGTCTCAATCTGAGACTAATTCTATGTGCACGAGGGACCATTGAAAGAAATGCCTTTGCAAAGCTGCTTTTTAATGTATTTTCTACACTGACAGTTTTAGGCAATCAAAAGAAGAAAACACTGCAGCCTTGCTTTCGAATGAATACCTATTATGAAACTGTCACATAGCAAGTGCCTTTCATCACACACAGGCTGAATTATAATCCTGTGCGCCTTGAAAAACACAAGTAAAACTGATAATTAAGGCTCCCTCTTTTCTGTTTGGATAATGCTTGGGTATCCTGTATCCCTGCTGAATGACCTCCTCTGTAGTTTTTGATTAGTCAAAACAGCTGCATTGAAATTTCACACTGCATAATATATAACCGCAAGAGATGTTTTACTGTTCACTGCTCAATTGAGAGATGCTAATCAAATCAGAATCAGTCTTACCTGAAGCGTCTATAGTAATTTAATTATTTAATCGTAGTAATCATCTCATGTGATGGCTGTGGTAGAACGGGCCATCTACTGTTCAGTAGGTCGGTAGAGCATTCCCCGGGTTCTACAGACCATGTACCCAAGTATCTTTTGGCAAGATGCTGAACCTTGAGTTGCCCCTGAGTGTCATCTTTGTGTGTCTGTGTGTGTGTGTGAAATGTGCTGTATAAGTAACAATTCTTTTACCAGAGATATTAAATTGTTTTTACTTCTGACTAAAGCAGCCAATCAAAATTTCAACTTGCATCATAAACACTTCAATTTAGCCTGATTTATTTTATTTTAATCATCCAGGAAGCTTCTCCAGTTCTAAAACGAAATGATTGAAAGTCCCAGATAAAACTCCACCACTGATTTTAGAACTGAAGAAGCCTCTTGGATGAGAGGTGAAACATCTTCAAGTCCAGTTGCTTTCTTTCCAAGCCACATTGGAGGGTTTTTGAGCATGAACCACCTTATTAAGGTTATACCACAGCATCTCAATCAGATGAGGTCAGGACTTTGACCAGGCCACTCCAAAGTCTTCGTTTTGTTTTTCTTAAGTCATTCAGAGGTAGACTTACTGGTGTATTTGTGATCATTGTCCTGCTGCACAACCCAAGCGCACTTCAGCTTGAGGTCATGAACAGACGGCCAGATAGTCTCCTTCAGGCTGTTTTGGCAGACAGCAGAATTCATGCTTCCATTTACTACACAAGTCTTCCAGGTTCTGAGACAGCAAAACAGCCCCAGACCATCAAACTATCATATTTTACTCTTGGTATGATATGCTTTTTCTGTAAGGCTGTGTTACTTTTATACCACATGTAATCGGACACACACCATCCCAAAAGTTCAACTTTGGTCTTGTCAGTCCACAGAATATTTTCTCAGAAGTCTTGGGGATAATAAAAATGTTTCCTGGCAAAAATGTTCCTTTTGCTCAGCAGTGGTTTTAGTCTTGAGTCTGCCACGCAGACCATTTTTGCCCAGTCTCTTACTTATGGTGGAGTCCTGAACATTGACTTTAACTGAAGCAAGTGAGGCCTGCAGTTCTTTGGATGTTGTTCTGGGGTCTTTTGTGACCTCTTGGAAGAATCGGGTAATTTTGGTCAGCTGGCCACTCCTGGGAAGGTCCACCAGTGTTCCATGTTTTCGCCACTTGTGGATAATGGCTCTCACTGTGGTTTGCTGGAGTCCCACAGCTTTAGAAATGATTCTATAACCTTTTCCAGACTTGAGAGATCTCAGTGACTTTGTTTCTCATTTGTTCCTGAATTTCCTTGGATACTCCATTATGTCTGGCAGGTCCTATTTTTCTTGATTGAGAACAGGTGTGGCAGTAATCAGGCTTGGGTGTGACTAGAGAAGTTGAACTCAGCGTTCCAAAGATGTGATATACCACAGTTAATTTATGTTATAATGGAGCGGGCGGGGCAACCACTTTTTACATACAGGGCCATGTAGGTTTGGATTGTTTTCCCCTCCTTAATAATAAACACCTATACTTAGAAACTGCATTTTATGTTTTCTTGTGTTATCTTTGTCCAATGTTTAAATTTGTTTGATGATCTGAAACATTGAAGTAGGAAAAAAATAGGTAATCATAAAGGGGGCAAATACTTTTTCACCCCCCCGTATCCCAGTCCAGCAGAGCACCTTTGGGATGTGGTGCATTGGGAGATTCACAAATCTGCAGCAGCAACTGTGATACTATCAAGTCAACATAGACCAAAATCTCTAAGGATTGTTTGCAGTTCCTCGTTGAACCTTCATGAAGAATCATGAAGATTTCAGGCAGTTAAGTCTTTGTGGAGTAATTTAAAGCATTTGCAGTTTAAAAAAATAAATCACAGCCAGGTTTAGCTCATATTTTATTATCCTGTCACAATGACATGATTCTACTTTACGAGGCATGCACACAGATAATGTTCTTACGGTTAAAATTTACTACAATGCATTGGAAAGCCATTACTCCCCAGTAAGGCTTTTTTTTGTCTGTCACAGTGTGTGATTCACAGTTCTCTCTTTCCCTCTCAAGAATGAAGGGCAACATATAGCTGGGAGGACGTTTGCGGTGACTTAAACCTGTGAGGTTTTGGTTTTTTTTGTTATTTTATTTTTTAACATGAGCACAATACTAGACAAGTTTTTTATTTATGTACAGACATTCTAATACTGCGTATGGCAATGAGACAGCTCACACAACAAAGTTACATTCACAGTTCACTCAAAGTATGCATGAGTTTCAGTCAGAACACTAGAGATGAACACACAGCAGAGAAGCACACAAAAGAAACTTTTCATACCTGTGACTTGATATCCAAAGCATAACTGATGCATGTTAATATTATTTAAATGTGAGTGTTTGATTTAGAAAAGACTTGCCATTCAGAAGTTGAACTCGTGTATTGCCTTAAAATGTCGTAAAGTAAAAGGATATGGCGTTTCTCCCGTACACGCCTGCTCCAAGAATTGGCTTGAGTCACGTGTACGTTATTTTATTCACTTAGCACATCTAAACCCAACATTTCAGACACGTAACTCGTTCCCCTTTTGATGATATCCGGCATTAAGTTGTGTCTTTGCCATCATCATGGCCTCAGTTCGATGGCAAGATTCAGTAAATATTTACAATACAGCGCTGCCCCCCCGTCCGCACTCACAATATTAGCAAAATATGTATTTACATGGGAATAAATTAACAGAAATGAAAATGAAAATATACAAGAAAGTAGAGTAGAAGTATCATATTGCATTACATGAATATAAAAAAATAAACTGTGACGTATTCGTTCGGTAAGTCCACACAGACAGGACAAATAAATAGCAAACAGTATCCACGCACATCCACACACAAACACATACACTCTGTCTCTTCAGCTGGTCGAGTGGATTAGGCATCCAGTATCAATATAATGGCTGTTGCATGTTAAGCACAGACTAGAGAGATGATGAGGAGTTGGAGTCATCAGCCCAAAGACGAAGAAAAGAAAAAGAAGAGAGAATTGAAAGGACAGGGAGGAGTAATCCTCCACCCCGTAACCAGTCAGGTTTGTTTGTATGATAACCCACCGCAGCTGACTGCCTGTCCCGTGGGGCGGTTCTTGGCTGTTCTTTATATGTACATGGGGGTCTCCTGTCCCGTTAGAAGCCTGAACATGGCTGCCGGCATGGTCTTCATGTGAATCTGACGGAGAGAGAAAACACCAGGGGTTCTGTGAAATAGACCATCAGCTGAAACCTGAAGAATAAGACTGTTTTTTTCTTCTTGTAAATACAACATAAAATTCAAATGAAATCGATGGACAAAAATGTCATCAGGCAATAAGGACACAGTTAAAAAAGATATAGACAATTTAAAGGGTTCTCAACTGTATAAAAGTAATGATCTGAGCAGAATATTTTACTGTACTGTACTAACACAATTTATGGTCTCCCACATCGAAGTGCCTGAACACTAAGTAGTGAATAAGTGAACCGACACTTCCATCTACCGTGTATTTGAGTTGGGTATTTTTTTTAAGCAGTGTGACTTATTTGGCTCTGACAGTGATCTAGTTCTGCTCTTACACTTCACTCATTCAAGGTTACTCCGTGTTTACGATTTTTCCTACCAATGTAAGAATTACACCAACCGCACTGTTTGCTTACAATGCAGGATGTCTGTTAAAAGTATGCCATCTGTCAAAATTAACCCTGTAAAGCCTGAACCATGAAATAATTGTCAGCAAATTGTAAAGTTTTGAAACTGGACAGTTTATTGAACCTGCTGACAAATTCTGAAAGATAAATTAAATATAAATTAGCATATATTCATTTTCATTTGTATCATTTTTGCTATATACGGCATTTTTGTGCAATTTATCACTCACAGTTTGTTTATTCTGGTCAGAAAAACCACAGTGATGATGTAGAGGTCTAAAGGGTTAAAGACACATGGAAAAGCTATTTTCTTCACAGCAGATGTGCCAAACATAAAGCCCAGGTGCCAGAGTCAGCCTGGCAACAATTCCAATCTGACCCAGTGGATGGTGCTGGGAATGTGCATGACTTTTACCCATATTTTAAGAACCTTTCCTTCTGACAAAGACGTCCCGATGGCTTCACCAACCAATTAGGCAACAGATCAATAATTAAATGACAGAAAAGTTTGTAGTTTTTCACTACAAGTACATAGTAAAAAAAAGCAAATTTCTGGACAGTCAATGAGCCACCAGAACCTTTTCTCTAATTCAACAATTTCTTTTTCTTATAATTTAAACTCAAAGAGTCATGCTGACAGATTTCTTTCATTCTACAGCAGGATTTCTATATCATGCAGAAAAACAGAGACCTAATGTTAAATTCACACTTGATTTTGTTATATTAAGATATCTGAAGGATTAAATGTGTAATTAAACTACTTTAAACTGACAGAAAGGGGAATTTCACTAGTGTGACCCAGTTAAGATCAAGCATGTAGCCCATTATGTAATTTGAGTTGACATGCCTGCTTTAGAGCAGTAATTGTTGCGATTATGTACCAACAATCATTGCTGTGCATTATTTTTACAGATGATTCAATTTAGTGACCATGACAGCATAGATGGATGCAGGATGGTGAAACCAGTGTATAAAGGAGCGTTCACACAGGAAGACATTCATCACACATCACTTTGTAGCTGATAGTCGGTGGCTAGCAACCATTCCAGGCTCTGGCTGCCTCTGTAACCCCACTGTCATATGTCAATCAGCATACATTTGTTCTTATTGTTAGCTGCTTCAATACTTGGTCTCAAAGAGGGGAAGCATTTAAATCAGGATTCACCTACTTTGCACCATCAGCAGTTATTTCCTTTGATGGCCAATAACAGGTGACTCATGCCTATGAGAAAACAACCTTTTAAACATTTTAAACTGTACTGAATTTAATCCTGATGAGTTTATAGTCTTAACAACTTTATTTCATGTGATTTTTATGTGGTAAATTATGCTCCCATCTATAATAAACTAGATACAGCAGTACCCTGTAAGTGACTGTCAGTCTGATCCACTCCCAGCTCGTGATGTCTGGTTTCAGGCAACGAGTGTGTGAAGCCACAATAACGAATGCAAATGTTTGTGTCTGAAAACTATGGCTTTCTTTGTAGATGTTCTTTTGTGAAATGTTTGTGTGCATCAGTTTCACCTCGCCAACAGAGTTCGAGAGAGCCTGGACAATCTTCTCGTGTGCTGTGGCCACCACACTCTGACCATTGATCTCTATGATCCTGTGACCTACCCGGACCCCACCTCGCTCAGCAATGCCTCCTCGCATCAGACTGCATATCTGTAGGAAAGACAAACAACAACAACAAAGAAGAAAATTAGCTCATTATAAAGGTATTTTGTTCTACCCCCTGATCATTTAACTAATTAACTAATAATAACTAATAGTATCAGAGCCACCCACTTACAGCTCTATGAAATTATACATACAATGCCATTCTGAACACTGAAGCCCAGCTGATACTTTAGATCTGGTCTCTTAATGAGGACTGTAGTAACAGGAGGGCAGCTGACAATGTTCATTTTCACCTGGACCTGGTTCTTTAAGCCCTTTGACACAGAGAAGAACACACAAACATAAGAGGTTTTTTCACAGAAATTATGTAGTTGAATTTTGAAAATAACAAGTTAGGGTGTATTTCATGACTTCAGCTGCCTCTTCCATCCACTTCTTCAGTGTCTCAGTACCTTAATGATTCCCTGACAGGTGGCGAGCGGCAGCCCCACTAGGCTGGTGTTGTTGATGGACATGATTTGGTCTCCGATGCTGAGCTTGCCAGAGCGAGCTGCTGGGCCGCCGTTCATCATGTTGGCTAAAATAACTGTGGGCAGGATGGAGCCCCAGCCAGACTCCACAATCACCACACCCAGGATCTCCCCTTTACTCTTCTCCAGCTGCAGCTGTGGAGACAGAAGTAAGCAGGGGATGGAGTCTGTTTGTCATTTAAAAAAAACAAAACCTTAATGATGAACAGAAACTGTCCAACTGTATTTGAAAGCACATGACCCACAATGGTGGGGTTTTTAATATCCTTCATATATATTAATGTATACTTTATTTTATACTTACAACAGTGAGACTGTACAGTCTCTTAACATGGATTACGGATTACTGCTTATACAGAAATAGATTCAAATCTCTGGTCAGATTAGACCGCTACAGCTAATGTTGAAAATCAGTGAGGACTACTGGTCCAAGGTTTCTTACCTTAATGTCTGGATTAGTTCACATTAGGGCTGCCACGATTAGTCGACTACCAAAATCGTCGACGACAAATTTAATAGTCGACGCGTCGTTTAAAGCCTTGTAAGATCCTGAAAGACGTAAGTAGTAGGCTTTAAGAGTGTAATAACGGACTGAAACAGAAGATGGCAGCACTGCATGTACAAGGATGCCAGCTGCCGTTAAACCCCGAAGAAGAAGGAGCAGTGTCCGGTATCGTAGCTGCGGCCACATTTGAAGGCCGGTTACGTTGCAGCGACGCGACGAAGGCTTTCCAAATTCGAAGACTTCTGCAAATGCAGCCGACAAATACGTCCTACTTTCCCCAGATTTGAAGGATAGGTCGGGTGTATGGCCCAACCTATCCCAGAATTCATAGCACAGCTCAGCCCAATCCAGTTTCTAACAATGGCAGCAGCTACTTAGTTCTAATATTACTTTTATTTCTCTTTCTAGGTTAAAAAATAAACTTTTAACATATTTTCAGGTGAGAATGTAGCTGTGTACACTTCAAATATGTGTTCGGTTTATCAAGACACCACATATTTGTAAAAGTGAGGCGACATTTTCGGAGACGTCTGTTACCCACCAGCTCGATAGCTAGCCGGGGTTCAAGGCTCACTAGAGCCGGTGAGAACACCGGACTCCCGGCAAATTGTTTTCAAACCCACCGCCGTCTTTCGCTACTCAGGTTAAACATGATATTAAGTCACTTAGATAACTTAAAAATGTTATTGTTTGGCTTTTTTCAGTGTTTTATTTGTTCCTGAGTAAATCGGTTTGGCTGAGATTAAAGTTTTACACAGCTGAATTAATGTCAAACAGAAAACTGATTAAACAGAAGTGTGAAATGGTAGAATTTACTCCAATGTCCTGTCATAGTTTAGATAGCAAGGAACAGACGGCTGAGTTTATCAAACTCCACTGAGACAATCTCCAAAATTCATTAAAATTTAATAAACTATCATTTTGTCTTTATTTTTAGTTAGCACAGACCTTAAACACTTCAAGCTGTAAGCTAATGATAGTTATATAAGAGCAGATGCTGCTGGTGCAATAAGCTGTACGTCTTATGTCCAATGGATGATGATCTGATTAGTCGACTAATCACAAAAATAATCGGTGACTAGTCGACTATCAAAATAATCGTTTGTGGCAGCCCTAGTTCACATGACATTTTACTTTTCTATCTGCATATTTTATCTGCATGTTTTGTTTTGCTAACAGTGGAGATTAATAACAGCATTTGACATGATGGATGCTTGTGATGACCTCTCTACTACTTTGTGTCTCCCTTGTTTCCTTCATCTTTCTGTCTTTTTAAAAAAAATTTTTATAGGAGGTAAGTGTCTGGCCCCGCTTAGAACTTGTTTTTTAAAAGGGTTTAGTGCTAAACATGTCTCTTGCTTCACTCCAGCAGGCAGGGGTCATGGCTGGTTTGGGTTTTGTTTGCCTGTCATTTAACCTCCTAAGACCCGAACTCTTCCATGGCATGCATTTTTAATTTCTGTTTGCTATTTGGGATGATTGGGACCTGATGAATGTAAAAACAAAGAATTATGTGATTTTTTTTTTTTTTACCTGATTTTTGTTTCTGAGAAAAATGAGATCCACATATGAGGACATTCGCTTTAAATTCCGACAGAACAGCGGCAGTATGATGTCCTCGTAAGTGGATATCAGGCCCTTGTACAACAAAATTTAGTATTTTGGTCTAGACAACCCACATATGTGGACACCAGGTCCTAGGAGGTTAAGTTTCTTTCTTTCTTTCTTTCTTTCTTTCTTTCTTTCTTTCTTTCTTTCTTTCTTTCTCTTTCTTTCTTTCTTTCTTTCTTTCTTTCTGATACCTCTACACACACTCACCACATTGCAGACACTTTGTAGCCTAATTTAATTAAGGACATTGTGTTTTCTCCATTACTCAATTACTGTGTGGTCTTCCTATTTCCTCTGAGCCTTAATAACAATACTAAAAAATGCCAAAAGAAGTCCTGTCATTGCATTTGGAGTACATAATGGATTACATGCCTCCAGTAACACAATCCCCCTGATCTTTTTCTGTCTTTTTTTAATGCATCTGAGCCAACTGCTGAGAATTTCTTTAAATCTGGCAGATTTGCTCACTTGGACTCGACAGCGAACTGAACAGTGCTAAATGTTGAACACAATAAATCTTACACTAATTCTTCAAAACAAACTTATAGTAGGATAACATCATAAAGTGGTACATTTTAGATCCAAAGGGTCAAAGGCCAAGCCTGGACAGACATGGATATAAATGTGACTGGCCAGTGTATTCTTGAACTTCTTGATGTATTGACAAAGAACAGAATTGTCTTTAGCAAACAAGTCAGCACTGTTTGTACTGGTTGTCTCAAATAGCAATGTATGAAAAACACCTGCTTTGCAAGTACAAAAAAAAAGACTGAAAAGGTTTGGCTTGTTGGAAAGGTTGCTAGGAGGAACGACATTTTACAACCAAATTTACTTTGGTTGTAAAATGTATTTAAACAACAAAGAACTACCAATAATTTATCTGTATTGATTTATCGCATCCATGTTTGACTTTACAGACCTTTTCAGATTCAGCTTTTGCTCATCCTCCAGTACTGTCATAATGCCGGATACGTTTTCCTGTTTCAGACCAGCTGATACTACTCATCTACACACCAAGCCTCAAGACATGACTTTATTCTTCGAACAGTTAGTAAGGTGGGAAAACTTTACTACTTCAAGAAAGCCCAGGTTCCTCATTACTGTAAATTACTCATGTGCCCCTAATACAGCAGCTGTGTGATGGTGCCCCTGCAGCCTCTGTGCTCATAAACCAGTAAACGTTTCACAGTTTGTAATTCACCAAAAGCCTCCAGCAATGTTTTCAGGGCACGGCATTAGCTAAAGCAAAAATGCAACAGCGAAAATAAGCTAGATCTGACACTGTTGAAGTAGATTTTACTGTACCATCTGCCTCTTAATCTAATTAGCTAACAGCAACTATAGTAGTACATTTGTCTAATAGCCCTGCAGCGCCAGTGTGATTCGTCCCACATGCAAAGTCTTTCACTGTTTATTCCCAGTTCTTCCTTCTGAGGTATACCCACCTCTTTGCAGTTTTCAGAGTTGGAGAAGTGGATGAGGTCATCATTGTACATTTCCTGGGTGTTGATGATGTCACTGTACTCCTTCTGACTCAGGTCCTCGGGGTTAATGCCATTGGCTCTCAGGAACTCCTGGTAAGCTACGCTGAAAGCCTGGCCGATGGACTGAGCAATAAGCTGGGCCTGCAGACAGAAATGTCAGGCTGTAAACAAAAGCAAACCCAGCAGCATATAAATAACAACACAGGGAGCTAAGGGCATCAACCAGTAGTGGAATAAATATAAAGGTGTTTAAGTTTCTACTGACTTTCTCTGTCATAAGCGATATTTCGCCACTAAGAAAAAAGACACACTTTCCTGTTTCCTGCTCTCTCATTCAGGTGATATCGAGGTTAAGGAAGCCAACAGACAGCAATAATAAACCTTGTATACATTTGAATGATATAACCATACTTCCTCTGTTTAATTGAAATCTATACTTGCATATAAATCCCTCTTTGCAGACAGTAATGGCTCCAAGTCCCACCATGAACTAGTTATGTACAACAATAAAAAATAAAAAAGAAGAAGAAGAAAAGACAGGAATCACCACATACAGCCAGTGGAACCACAATAACACAAACTGTTTATAAGCTGATGGATGAGCGGCTGAATGGTTCCATTATAACTCTGGGCGGCCTTTAAAGCCTGGCAGCAAAATTAGATGAGGAGGCTGCAGATTGGAGCCCAGCCTTTATACTGACTGGCACAGAAAGTGAGTCGCTGGCTCCTCTGCGCAACATTGTTCATGTTGCCAGCTCCTGCTGAATCTGCTTCAATGAGGAAAGCAAATCAAAATCAAAAGTGCCCAGCCAATTTACATCATTTCACATCACTGGGCTGCCCTAAGTGATTACTGCAGGGTGCTCCAAAAAACGTTTCTAGAGCTTCTTTATATTAGCGACGGCATTTGAGATAATTTAACAACACTCAATTCAGGGGAAAAAACGCAAGAAAACTGTGCGTCGGAGTCAAACTGTGGAAGTTAAAAAGCAACGAGAAGTGGGAAGCTGAAATATTTTCTGACACTCACATAGCACTTGAAAGGCAATCGCAAGTGTCATCTTCACTATCTTTAGATGTTAAAGGATCTGCCAAATGAGAACTCTTACATAATGACAAAAAAATAACATCTGTCATCTGTGTACCCACTCTCTGGAGACGATTCTCCCATAAACACATAGAGGCACAGTGGGTTTGTCATTCGGAAAACTCTTTAAGAGCTGCTTACATCCTCAGACTCAAAGACGTGGCATATCATTTTGTACTGCTTCTTTGCCTCGGGCGCTCCGGGTGTAGTTTCAATGCAGTCCTGTGAGGCTGTGCGTGGCATCCGGCGTCTTGCCATCAGGACGACAATGTTCCCAATGTCGGCAATGTAGGATATAGTGCGGAGTGCGTTGTCCATCATCGTTTCCTGTTGGGATGTCAACCAAAATCACATGTTTTAATTATGCTCTGCATTCTCTTGTTCTGTTTCTGAGTTTATAAGCTAACATAGGCAAGGCTGTAATGATACATGTATGACAGCAATTTTTTTGTTTCTTTTTTGTCACTTTCTTGCTGCTGTTGGTTTAACACTACCTGCTCAGCATGAATGCCACTTTTGTTGTTGTACTGAGAGTTATCTACCTATCTATCTATCCTTTGCTATGGTTGTAATGACTGCATGCAGTAGCAGTATGAAAGCAGAAATGATTCTGAATTTGTGGGCTTTTCCTTTTTAATATTAATATCTAAAAAGACTGTTTGAAAAAGGAGGAACGTTGCCTCTGGGTCTGAAAAGTGAACTTGCATTTTTTCTAAAGGTCAGCAGGGGGCTCCTCTAGTTGCAGAAAGTTAGGTGTCTCTGGTTTGTTTCGCCTTTTGCTAATGACATTGCTGCCTTTAACTAACATTGGACAGATTATAAGTGATCCACTAAATGTCTAAGTCACGGTTTGATCATGTGTGTCAAAGCGTAGCTTTATTTATAAGGTATATTTTTCCTTATGAGCTGAATTTAGGCTGCAGATATTTTTTTTAATGCTTTTATACTCCTCAGACTTAAAAATAAGGGCCTTTTCTGAAAACTTGGGACATGCTGGGATGTATACTACTTATATGCCCGTGAAATTGTTGACATCAACTACGCAACAATTAATTTTTTTATCTTACAGAGCAGTTTGTCAGCACAGCAAAAAAAAAAGAAGTTTGTGCTGAAACGAGAAAGCAGAGAAGAGGGCACAGTGAGTATACTGCTAGGACTTTGGATTTAAGTGGTATTGTCAAAGACTTGCTGAGCGTAAAGCATTGTTACCACTATTATTGTTCCATGCTTATATACATTACAGTTGTCTTCATAATACTTTAGCAAAGTCAAACCTATTTCGGGCTTGTGGTAGACTAGTTGAAGACAGTTTAAGTTAGATAAATGAGTCTATAAATGTGACCGCTGACTGTGGCTGCTGTCCATGGTGCTGATCAAAACCTGGAATTACCTGATATTAGTGAGTATGGGTAAATATTAATTTGGTACTTACCCAGCCTGCCTGTATAGGAAAAGAATCCCCCCTTGGGGTCAATCACAGACTTGCTATGTCACACTCACAGTGTCAATATTTAATAGTCGATAATACTGTTTTCACTGCCATACTGACACAATGCCATCTATCCATCAAGCAATCTATTTTATTAACCACTCGTCTAATTCTGATTTGCAGAGGAGCTAGAGTCCATCCAGTCTCAACACAATGCCCACGCAATATGAAATTAATCCTCCCCAACTACTGTTTTTAAAACTAGTTGCACTAAACAACAAACCTAAAGAGAAAATACACAACCCATGTACAACGAATCCATGCAGGAACCCCACAAAAAGTGGAAAACGTCTTCGTATTCACACATTTTAACTGACAAAAAGCTTTACGGAAATGAGCTGTTTCCTACTAATGCATTTGAAAAGCAGTAACAGTTACTACTAATTATCCTGTTTCTGACAGCAGCTGGTTTCCTTTGATTATTATAATATTTTGAAAATTAAAGAACCACTGAGCAGCATATTTGTTTCCTCTCATTATCAAAACTGCAGCATTCATTTCGGGGTGAGAAGTGAGATGAAAGTATCGCTGACAGAGAACAAACATGCCTACTTTTGATTGAATTCAAGCCTGCTGTATAATCTGATTATAGCTCAATGACAACCCAGCAAACACTGAGTAGATTTTCATCTAAGAGCAATGAATAGGTGCACGAAAAACTAAGCATTCGTATTAATTAAAAAAAGATTGTTTGTTAAGACAGCCTAATAATTGTCTTGGGTTATAATGTATGAGGAAAAGCTGGACTCTAGACATGAACCTGTGGATTTCTTTGAGAGGAGCATGCATTTGTTCATTGACGTTTTAAGGTAAGATGTTAAATTTAATTTCAGTTACTTAATGTCATTAACTATGAGCTGACTTTTATTACATCAGCCTAATAAATGCTGTTGTTCCAGCCCACCTTTGGAGTTGTTCTTATTATGAATCAATGTCAGGAACCCCATGTAAGCTACATCGAGCTTTTATGTGTACAAAAAGGCTTTTATTTAAAATCTGGGACCAGTGGCAACCAGATGGAAAAATGAGAGGAAGATAGAGACCGCATTGCAGCACGTTATTTTCTGCCAGGCGGCTGCCCACACACACACACACACACACACACACA